TCCCGCCCCGCCCCCCGCACTATGGACCCCAGGGCCTACGTGGCCTTCCTGGTTGCCATGGGAAAGACTCTGCAGCCCCGGCGTTTGCGACACTTCGTAAAGCACGGAAAGAAGGTGGCGAAGTCAAGATCACGTGAAGTAAAACGGGAAATAAACAAATGGTGTTGTTTATGGTCCTGAGTGTCAGGAACAAAAAAATAGAATATTGAGGACTAGCTGTGATTACGGGAAATATTAATCATGCTCTGTTGCCATGATTGCCTTGTGCTGGTTAAAGAAAGGGCATTCTAACCTGGCTGGGAGTTGTATGCTCCTGGGACCAGGGAGCCCTCTTGAACCTAGGAGTCACCCTTGGAATGTGGTCCATTCTCATTTAAGAGCCGCCTATTATCATGGGAAGATGAACAACCTGTTGCCCAAACAGCGGAGTCCCACCCCAGCCTGCATTGCCTACCTCTCCATGCCTGGGCCACAGTTCTCCCCAAATTATTTTGAGAAGACTAAAATGGCTAATTCCAATGTAACCCTGATGTTTGGGGGCTAGCAATCTGAATCTGTGCCAGCAAGCCCAGGTTAATATTCTTGATAACCTATAATTAAGTCATTGCCCCTTTCTCGACAAACTGGTCTTGCAAGACCTATTACCTAAATGCTCACCTTTCACAGAGGCCAGAAACCATGACACAGCCCCAGAGGGGGGTTATCAGGGCCTGGCGCCAGGCCAGGCCCTTAGGTATGGTTTCAAGACCCCCAACACCTGGGGCTTTTTGCAAAGCCCTTGAAAGGTCCAGAAGTCCTGTTCCATATTTGGGGGTCAAAGACACCAAAAGGGGATAAAAGTGGGGTTTCCACCATATTGGTTGGCTCAGAATTTGAGAGGCAACCTCCTCTGAGTCTGCCGGTGTAATAAATCTATGTAACTCCATTTCTCTAAGCGTTGCTTGGTTTTTCTCTGGTCTTCTATAACAATCTTTGTCCTATCCTATACATACAGCTGGCTTACAGGGGACTGCAGGGCAGATTTCTGTGGATGACCTGCTGCTTTCCCATGCTGCTGGCATTATTGGAATAAATGCTCAGATATGATTCAACCCTGTCTGCTGAATTGGCTCAAGTAGCGACAGGCAGCCTGGACCCACTGTGTGTATGTAAACACAGAACAAGTCCTGGGCGCACACACCAAGCCCACAGCTATAGTAACACTGTGGATGCAGGAACTTATGTTTCCTCCATTTTTTGTTCAAAAGCAGAATGTATTTTCAATAGTTCTTTTCGTACTTGAAAGTACTAGTTATAAAGAAAGGGTTTACTGGACTGGGTGAAAAAAGTGAAAGGGTTAAGAAGTACAGAATGATAGTTACAAAATAGTCATGGGGATTAAACAGAATAGGGAATATAGTCAATAATATGGTAATAATTATGTATGGTGCCAGTTCGATACTGGAAATATCAGGGAGATTGTCTAACTACTTTGCTGTATATCTGAAACTAACACAAAATAATAATAAATGTGATCTGTAATTGAAAAATGAAAAAAAAATTAAAGATAGGATTTATTGATAAAAGGCATTACTACTAAAAGCCCCTGTCCCAATTTGTCTTGGAGTTGTTTGCCTGAACTGCCCTAGCCTTTCGGAGGGTCATCTGTTTCCTGCTCTTAAGTCCTCAGTAATGAGTGTGTGTGTGTGTGTGTGTGTGTGTGTGTGTATGCCCACACACACTTCAGGGGCTGGTTGTCAAGCTCAAGGGGCTGAGGATTGATTGCAAAAATCATCTCAACCTCATCACCACCCCCACTTTCTCTTAACCTCCTAAAGACACCCCTATTTTATACTATAGTCCTGCTTAACTATGGGACTTAATGCAGCTATAGAGGAGTTATTTCTTTCTGTCCCAACCCATTATCAAAGGTGGCTGCCTCTTTCTAGCCAGCCTCTAGAGTAGATAAATTGCCTGCATCAGAACAAGGCTCACTGCCCCTCCCCCTTACCTTCTTATCAGAATCTCTAGGGATGGGATCCATAATCTAATTTTATGAAGTTCTCTAGGTCACTCTGTGCACACGAAACTCCGTCTTTCTCCCTCCCTTGTGGCACTTGATTTTTCCTATAGAGGAGTTATTTCTTTCTGTCCCAACCCACCATCAAAGGTGGCTGCCTCATTATAGCCAGCCTCTAGAGTAGATAAAGTGCCTGCATCAGAACAAGACTTCTCCCCGCCCCCTTACCTTCCTATCAGAATCTCTAGGGATGGGATCCATAATCTAATTTTATGAAGTTCTCTAGGTCATTCTGTGCACTCCGTCTTTCTCCCTCCCTCGTGGCACTTGATTCTTTTTTCTGCACACCCTGCTAATTCTCAAGGTTCTTGTTTGCTGAAAAACCTTATCTTAGACATCATTCTGAGTGTCTTCTACCATATAATGCACTAGGGATACAGAGAATCGTGGAATCAATTATTCAACAAGTGAATAACCAAATAGCCTGTTTTAAAACACCTTCTAGAACAGTGGTTCTCAACATTCCTAATGCCGCGACCCTTTAATACAGTTCCTCATGTTGTGGTGACCCCCAACCATAAAATTATTTTCGTTGCTACTTCATAACTGTAATTTTGCTACTGTTATGAATTGTCATGTAAATATCTGATATTCAGGGTGTATTTTCATTGTTACAAATTGAACATAATGAAAGCATAGTGATTAATCACAAAAACAATATGTAATTATAGATGAGTTTTCCGATGGTCTTAGGTGACCCCTGTGAAAGGGTCGTTCGACGCCCAAAGGGGTCTCGACCCACAGGTTGAGAACCGCTGTTCTAGAAGGTGCTGAGGAACTTAATGCTGTCCAAGAGAAGACCGACTGTTTCTAAATACCTATTATTATCCACCTAGGAATGCTTTTCCGTACCTCTGTCCACTTTCTTCTCAGGCTCTCCAGAACAGTCTGGGGACCCCCACCTGACACTCTCATATGTCAAAGGCTGTCTTGTTTCCCCTGCTCTTGCTCCCTAGGTTAGATGTCTCCAGTCCATTCAACAATCCTTGAAATGATAGTTGTAATCTATTCCAGCTGCCCTTTTCCAGATACACTGCTGCTAGTCAATGTGCCTTTAAAAATGTGATACTCAGAGCTAAGCAAAATGATCTGGGTGTGGTGTGATGAGGGCTGAGTGCTGGCAGAAGCACGCTCTTAATGTTGCCCATTACAAGGCCATTAATGCACCACAGTAGCTCTTTACAGCTACTCATGTCAAGATTGTAAACAAGTCCCCGGAGTTCCCCGGAAATGATCTGGGTGTGGTGTGATGAGGGCTGAGTGCTGGCAGAAGCACGCTCTTAATGTTGCCCATTACAAGGCCATTAATGCACCACAGTAGCTCTTTACAGCTACAGTAAAGTGTCAACTCACGTCAAGATTGTAAACAACAAATCCCCAGAGTTCCCCGTTCTCCAGTTATCTAGTGTAAGACATTGCATGTATTCATTTACCCTTGTCTTGATCCGTACAGGATTTAATCGAACTAATTTTCTTCCACTGAGCCAAACCGGTCTCGGCTACATTTTAACTTTTGAGATCATTTATTTCCATCTCTATCACTCAGTGCATCCAAGTCATCTATCATTGTTGATTTTTGAGAGAATGGAATCAAGAAAATGGATGTCATCAATAAAAAATGACTTGTAAAAAGCATGCCAAAAAAAAAAAAAATTAGTTCCGAGCTGTGGTACACAAATAGAAACCTGCTTTCAGGAAAGCAAGATATAGCAGTAAGAGTCCTAGTGATAATTGATTTTGTTGGATGCTTTTATTAATTAGTTCCAGGAGTTCTAGTTAGGTTGGATTTTCCGGATAGACCATTTTTTTCCCTTCTATCCAATCATTTTAAAAAATATATTTTTAGCCCTAGCTGGGTTGGCTCAGTGGGTAAAGCGTCCGCCTGTGGACTGAAGGGTCCTGGGTTCGATTCCGATCAAGGGTATATGTCTGGTTGTGGGCTCTTCTCCCTTCCTCTCTGAATCAATAAAAATATATTTAAATATACATATTTATTGATTTCAGAGAGGGAGAGCGAGAGATGGAAACATCAATGATGAGAAAGAATCATTGATCAGGTGCCTCCTGCATACCTCCTGCTGGGGACCGAGCCCAAAACCCAGGCATGGTTCATAGGTGCTCAACCACTGACCCACACTGGCTGGGCTCTATCCCATATTTATATTTCTTATATGCCATCTTTTTTCTTGTCTAGAGATTCAGTATAATGTTGAATAAGAGGAATGATAATGTTAAACAAGAACATTTTTGTCTAATTCCCGATTTTAGTGGGAATATTGATATTTAAGGGAAGATAAAGAAAAACTGAGACAGGAAATTGAGAAGGAATTGGTAGAAAAGGGAAGAAAAATATCAGGATGAAGAGAAGAAACTTGCAGGAGGGAGTAGCCAAAGATGTCAAAGCCAAGTCCTCTTCAGGCTCGATTACAGATGCTCTCCATGAAATGATACTCTCTTATGGAGGGAGTTCTGAACTTCAATGCCGAGTTAATCCCTGGAGTAGTCTTCTTAAACTATTCAGAACCAAAATTGCTGGATGGAGCCTGTGACCACTTTTGCAAAGCTTCCTAGGTTGATTCTGAGATGCAGTTGGGGTTGGGAATGATTAATTTCAGCCACTTGCTTCATCTAATAACAGAACCATTTATTTAAAAGTAGTTAGATGGGCACTAAGCTTACAGGGTTGATCATTTTCTAAGTTTTATAAATGTCTCATCACTATGTTGTATACCTGAAACTAATATAAAATTGTATGTCAACTGTAATTTAAATAAAAAAATAATAAAAGCACTGGACAGAGACTAGCTAGAATGAAATAATTTATTATAAAGAAGCCATTTTTCCATAAATCTGTTTCATCAACATACATAACAACATTTCAGTATGTTCATAACTGGAAATTTTTAAAAATTACTGTGAAAACAAGAATGAGATTCAGGTAACAACTTGTGCTTCTGTGGCCTAAAAAAATCTGGCTTATACAATAGGAATGTTGATTAAACAACTGACAAGGATAGTCAATTGGAACTAAACGTTTCTTTTACTTCTCCCAATAAAAGGAGGAACAGAAATGTGACAGACAGACTTTACAGATTCTCCAGATGTTCAAATTGGTCTGGTGGATGAATGAATCACCAAGTTCGTAAAATCTATTTTCTCCTAAGTACCTAAAAACAGATCACTGATCAATGCAGAATCAAGTCAAGGGGGTGCTCTGATTACACCCCATTAGTCTTAAACTGTATGATTTTGAGAGGCAAGTCCTCCTCCTAGCTAAGTAAGTGAAATGTTCCCTTAAAGAATGAGTGCATGTTTTTAGGTTGTCTGTGGTTTATTGATAATATTGCAGCACAGCACACAGACTCCAACGGCTCCACGTGGTGTCTTGAAATTCATCCCAACGGGAGGCTCAGTGACTTGCAGGCTGGACAGACTGCCCAAGTCCGCGAGTGTCAGCATTTCCTCAGTGTCAGGATCAACTTCAAGGACATCCTCATCCAAGGCTGAGACTTCGGGAACGTGGTCCTCTCTCCTCCCTCTCCTCCTGCAGCTGTCCCCCTAGCTAAGGCCACCAGATGTGGCTTAGGGGACGAGTGCCTTTTTAACAGACTCGGGAACGCGGCTGGCGTAGTAGTCATGGTTCCTCAGCGAGGCCAGGACCCCAGCGGAGTTCATGTGCTTCACTTCCTTGTCATACTGAAGGGCATTGCCATGGACGTCGGTTAACTTGCCTACAGAAAAAACACAGCACGTTACTGGCCGATTCTACCATAATAGTTGGTTATTTGTAAGCGCCTCTTGCTTCCCTGGGCAGTAATATCCAATTATCTCTGCAGAAGGAAGATAATGGTTAAGTGTTAATAATTCACTTGACACTTAAGACTACCGAACAATTTTAACTAACTGAAGGATAAAACATTTTTTTCTTCTGATTAAAATCATTTCCCTTAGCGTTTTCTTTTTTAAAAAAAAAAAATATTTTATGGGTTTTTTATAGAGAGGAAGGGAGAGGGATAGAGTTAGAAACATCGATGAGAGAGAAGCATTGATCAGCTGCCTCCTGCACACCCGCTACTGGGGATGTGCCCGCAACCAAGGTACATGCCCTTGACCGGGATCGAACCTGGGACCCTTCAGTCCGCAGGCCGACGCTCTATCCACTGAGCCAAACCAGTTACGGCTCACTTAGCATTTTCAATTTTTATTTCTCAGCGTCAATTCCTTTCTCTTTTCCTGAGTTGATCGCTTTTCCTATTGGTTATACTTCATCATCACTATTCCCATTTTTAAAACTACGTTCTTTATTCTACCATTTCATATTAACACTTTATTTGGTAAGAGTTTAAATGAAGTATGTTCAGAAGATATAACTATTATATTAGTTTCATTTAATAATTCTAATGAGAATGGATTGTGATGAATTTAACTTCCTTGTCATGTAATGTTAATGAGATACTGATAAAATAATGTACTCGGAAAAAGGATAAGATAAAAAAAATAAAAATAAAGAAAATCAAGGTTTGACTTGATGTCTATTTGAAATTTTAAAATCACCTAATTATGTACATATTTATAATATATTTTTAGTCAGATTTTTAAAATTCTAACTCTATGATCTTTAGCACTAATACAGAGATATTTACCAACATTGGTTTAAAATAAATTAGGTGGTTTTTTTCAAGAAAAAAAACACGCTAGCTCTTGCTGATTTGTCTCAGTGGATAGAGCATTGGCCTATGGACTGAAGGGTCTCAGATTCGATTCCCATCAAGGGCACATGCCCTGGTTGTGGGCTCAATCCTCAGTAGGGGGTGTGCAGGAGGCAGCCAATCAAAGATTCTCTTCTCATCGCTGATGTCTCTCTCTCTCTCACTCTCCCTTCCTCTCAGAAATCAGTAAAAATATGTTTTTAAAAACCCCTAAAGGCATTCAAGCCATAAATTAATAAGGGTTTAATTAAGTTAACTACATGCAGATCAAGGTCCAAAAAAAGAAACTGTATGTAAAGAAAAATGAACTGGATGAAAAATCTACTTTCTCGCCTATGAAATGTGGGGGTTGGAACAGATAATCGCTAACTTTCCTCCTAGCTGTTATATCCTGAGAGGCTAGGTAAAGTGGCGTTACTGCAGAAACTGTAATCCCCGCTAAGGAAACGGACTCACCTCCCACAGCGTGTAGGATGACTTCCGGAGCACAAGTGTCCCACTTCTTACAGCCAGGACTCGCAAACACGTAAGCGGAGGCTTTGCCTTCAATCAGCTGAATGATCTGGAACGTGAACGATGATCATTATCCCTCGACCATGACATGAACGAGGTACACATAAGAGAGGATTCTCGTTTCTATGAAATAGATTTCAACTCCTCTGTTAGGCTCCACTTAGGCGAAAGCCTTTAGCAGGTTTAAATGACAAGACTATGATGAAGAAACATACAGAATACATGCATCATAATATCCAAGGGGGGAAAATGTTGTCAATAAGCTACAAGAAGGGTGAATGAACAGTCTCCATATTCCAAGTTAGAGAAAATAGTTTTCTTTTTTATGTTTGTTTTTCTTTCTTACTGACTGTAAAAGCAATATATATATGTGTGTGTGTGTATATATATACATGTATATATATAGTTCCAAAAATGTACACACACATTTTGAATAATTATAAAGGCAGTGTTTATTAAAGTACATTTCATTTTCAAAATTGAAGTATCAGCTGTTAAAGTGTGTATACATTTTGGGGGGAGGGCACCCTGTATTTACTGTAGAAAAATTAAGTTATTTAATGTTATAAACAATTGACCATTATTATACAAGGGATAGAGAAGCATCAACTAGTACAATAATGTGTCAATTGTAATAGGTCCTAAGAGATGTGTAAAGCTGACTAGTCAATCTAACAAGTAGTTAGTTACTTGTCTTTGGGTTCATATCCATTATCAGTTACACTGCCAAAATATGAATTTTTAAAAATATATTTTATTGATTTTTTACAGAGAGGAAGGGAGAGGGATAGAGAGTTAGAAACATCGATGAGAGAGAAACATCGATCAGCTGTCTCCTATACACTCCCCACTGGGGATGTGCCCACAACCAAGGTACATGCCCTTGACCGGAATCGAACCTGGGACCCTTGAGTCTGCAGGCTGACGCTCTATCCACTGAGCCAAACCGGTTAGGGCAAAATAAGAATTTTTAAATAGTCATTTTAATGATTCTCATAATACATAAAACTGAGGCCACTGATAGAACTTGCATGACACAAAACTCTGGAAGCTTCTGTAAAGTGTGGTGAGGGATGATGATAGGTTTCAACTGGGGCACTGACAGTTGAGATGGAGAAGAGACATTAGGGAAGAATTAAGATCTCTAGCTGGGTCTGGCTGGCCTGGCTTAGTGGTTGAGTGTAGACCTATGATCCAGGAGGTCATGGTTCGATTCCTGGTCAGGGCACATTCCTGGGTTGCCAGCTCAATCCCTAGTGTAGGGCATACAGGAGGCACTGTTTCTCTCTCTCTCTCTCTCTCTCTCTCTCTCTCTCCCTCTCTCTCTCTCTCTCTCTCTCTCTCTCTCTCTCTCTCTCTCTCTCTCTCTCCCCCTTCCTCTCAAAATCAATAACATATATATATATTACCCATAGCTAGGACTAATTGATAGGACCTGAGCAAAGGCATCTAGGACGACTTTTACATATCCAGCTGGAACAATTGGGAAAATGCTGGTACATTAACCAGAAAGGAACAGGGAGAGGAACACATCTGGGGGCAGGCAGAAAGAAGGTGAGTTCCAATCGGGCATGCTGAATGAGAGCCTGAAAGATGTCATCATGACGGTATCCGGGGGGAATTAGATGAGAAGAGCCGCAGATCACACTGTGTTCCATTTCACAATTTCCTCAGGAGATGGGAGCCTGGAGGAGATCGTGGGGAAG